AATTGTGATTGATTGTGCATTGGATGTTTCTGTTGCCTTTATTTTGTGAAAAAACTGAAAATAGTAGCTGAATGTTGAAGGACAAATGAAGGGCATTGACCTGGATGAAAGAAGGGGATTTAGTAAGCCTGAACAGTTACAGAACTGAGAATTGATACTTCTAGAATTACATATTTAATATTTAGTTTTCTTCTATACTTGGAGGTTTTTTAGGTCATTCATTTCTGAAACCTTTTGGTGGGTAGGTCAGCACTGTCAGAAATCTGATTTTGACTGTGCTACTCTCTATCAGTGATTTTCACACTTGCAGCTTCCACAGCCCTGACCTCCGAAACAGTTCGTGCAGAAACTGTTCATTAATATGAGTCAACAGATTGGTATTGGTTAAAATATATTCGTAATTTGAGGTTACTGAACTATGTCTCTAACAACAGGTAGCATTAAGAGGGAGAAGATTTTTCATCACAGATATCCTGTGTGCTACTCCTTGGGGTTTTTTTGTGTGTGCTAAGTTTACACCTTTCAGATTTCTCTGACATTGATCAGTACTGACCTTAATGAGTTCTCTTAAGAAACAATAATGAAAGTATTTATTTAGGTGTGGTGCTGTTCTACCCCGAGCTCCCCAGTTTGAAAGATGCTTTCTTATCTAAACTGACTCCATCTGCATTTTGGTGGTTGTGAGAAACATCCCTTCCTGGATGTAGTGGCTTTGAGTTTTGTGGGAGTTATTTTTGTTTGTTTGTTTTTCTTTTGGGTTCTTCCCTTAAACTGTTCCCTACCTTGTGTGCTGCTGGCAAATCAGTGACAATCTGCCTCTTAGCCAGTGTGTTGTATACAGATGCATAATGCTGTTATTAAATCCCTTTCCTCAGTCAAGAGGATTGATAACAATGTGATAAGACAAACATATTTCTGTTACTATTTTTGACCTATTTAACTTAATTTTTTTTAATTGCCTCAGCATTCACAAAGAAAACAAGGTTTAAAAAATAGTATCCAGCATCTCCAAGACCACAGCTGCCACCTGCTTCATACAGTTATTCATGCTTTTCCTTTTCCAGACCTATTCTACTCTTTGTTCTCTGTGACTAGATATGAAGTACGCTGTTTTATTCTGTTTTATTTTGGATATAAGTAGAAGAAACTAGGAAAAAAATCCATGCCTGTCTTGATTGTGGCATTTTAAGAGTGTTTTTCTTTTCTGTTTTGGGGGGATTTTATTAAAATTTTTAAGATAGAATGTTTACAACTCATTGAGCATCATCTTGGGACTTAGAAACGAATAATAAGTCTAACATAAAATAATTACTTTTCCTAAAAATGTTTGTTTTATTACCTACCCCTACTTCATTTCATGCATGGGGGAATACTACTGAACTCCATAATGCACATCACAATTTGTTCCTAAATAGTCATATCTTTCAAACAGATTAGCATGAAACAATTTGAGGAGTAAGTACCTAATTCAGATGGATAAAACAATTCATTCCTTAGCAGTTTCCCAGTTTTAGGGTAAGAGGATTTACTGTTGCATATCTAAACCAAGTACTCTTTTTCAGTACCTGATAAGTACTCTTTTTCAGTACCTGTTAAAAGAATGAGCTCTCTTTTATTTTTGAACAGAATTATCCTACCATAGGAAAGCGGTTTATCCAATATGGGTAGTTGAGGGCAGGGTATTTTGCTTTTTAAAAAGCTGGTGTGCGTAAAATGAGGATTATGTCATGTTGTAAGCATTTCTTAAAAAAAAAAAAAGAGAAAAAAATAATAGAAAATTTAATCGTCATTTGTTTTTAAAGGTATTAGGAATGTTGTGACTAAAACAGGCCTTCATGCAACATAAATGGTCTGTCAGTTACTGAGGGGATTATTGAGAAAGTAGAAGTCATTGAATTCAATACAATTCTTCACCATTATTTTAGAAGTAAGGTGTCCAATTAGTTGGGTCCCAGTCTATTATAAACAAAACCAAAACCAACTGCTCTGAGCTAGTGTTGCTGTACTGTATTTGATGAGGTGTTCTTATTAAGTAGTGCAAACTATTTTACTTTCTATTAATAATTTTACTAAGGTATTCCAGTGCAGAAGAAGGGAAGAGAAGGGGCAGGGATGATTTTTAAAACTCTTTTCATAATTTAATGAGTACCTCTTAGTTTCTGGATTGTATTGCCAAAATGTTATGACCTTGTTCAAAACTCTTCCAGTGGGTTATTGTCTTCACTGGATGAGCCAGGCATAGTTTTACTACAGAGAATATTTTATTCCTTTTTTTTTTTTTTTTGGTCATTTTAGCTGAAGTTAAATCTGAGATTCACTGTGGAAACTTCCAGCTGCGGCTACACGTGATGTTGCTAGAATGTGATAACCTACTTTGGTAGACGTGCAGTTTTTACCCATGGTTCCCCAAAAGATAAAATTAAAAGTCAAAGATTTGTGATGAGAAGAGAATCACTTCAGACTTACAGTGAAATAGAAGTGTGCAAGTACCCCTAAAGTTGGACAGTTACAGGATGTTTAAGTCATGCTTGTTTTCAGGCAAATTCAGAAGAAAGACTTCTTATATACTGAGCTTTGACATATCTGTCCTTCATGTGGAAGATGTGTGATAAAAGCACATGTAACTCTGTTATATTATACCCAACTGCTCATTCATTATGTAATGACTTCTTCCATGTACTCTCAATGTATGAATGTATTTAATAGCTTTGGCATTGGAGCTTACTTTTAACATTTGGAGCACAGAACATAGTTTGCAGTGTTTGGAGCAGCAGGGAGTCAAGTTTGGTTCTCACATAATTAAAAAATGAACAGTGTTTTTGCAGGGCCTCTTATTCTACCTCTCTCTTTTGAGCTCATATGTTGCCTGGGAAAGACCAGTGAGCAGCTCTTGAAGATGCAGTTTGCATCCATAAATTAACTAAGAACATCCAAGGGCAGTTGCTAAATGCATTAATAATTGTGCACACATGTAGTTTTGTTGTTTACAGAGCAGTGGATAGCACCCTGGAGAAGCAGCTAGGGGTGTGCAGAGGAGCAGCACATGAATGTAGATGGGCAGGGATCTCATTTTCACATGGGCATACTGGAGAAGCAAATGGCTTGATACTTCATTATGTTCTATATCCGTGTATTGATTTTGCCTCATGAAAATTCAATGCAGTTTCTCTCACACGAATGATGAAAGCTCTGATTTTTGCTTTGGGAGGGTAAGTGGCAATGGCAATGGGTCCAAAGTACTTAGACAGAAGTATCCCTAGAATTCCTAGATGTAACCTCCCATAAGGTCTCAAGCCATAAGACTTTTGAGACAGTTAATAATTGTTGCACTGAAGTGTATCTATTGTCACATATCTAGGTACAAATTAGGATAAAGATAAGGTCCACAATTGTGATTTTATCTTTCTTTTCAAATGCTGTAGTCATACAGGAAAAATATATATTGGATCTCAGCTTGTAGTCACCCTTTGAATTTTCTTATTAAACAGTTTTCAAGTTCTTTAGATATCAAAACCCTCATATATTTTAGAAGAAACAAGCTTTTCTGTTCTTAAATTTCAGTATTTGGTGTTAAGTTTGATATTTGCTGTTGAGAAGTGTCTTATAACTTGGGCTGACCTTTCCAAATACTTGGTTTGTACAGGACTGATGACACGTTACAGACTTGGAAACTTGTTATCTTAAAAATTTAGAAGAATACATTTAATAAGACAGGAACCTTGGCAAAATTTTTATATGCTTTCAACTTAAATGTTGAGATGCCAACTCAGACAAAACATTCAGATATGGTTTTATAAGGGTAAATACTTTCCTAAAATAGCCATGTTCAGGAATCTAGTAAAATTTCACACATCCTACATATCCAGAACAACTGTTGCTAGAATTTAAACAGTTCGTGTAGAGATACCCAGAACTGTTGCCTATGGCGATGAATCCATACTTAAGTTACCAAACTGTACTGAAAGAGAAACTTTTCCATCTTGTACTGCTCCTCCTATTTTAATTTTTAAATACTCATGTAATATCCTTGTGTCTTCTTGTACTTATGTTTAATGTGAACACTGTGGAGGGATTTAGAGGTTCCAGAATGTCCTCAACAGTGTCCTGAGAGCTTCATAACACTCTAAAATAGTAATGTAGGAGACTGATTATCCTCCTACTTTGTCTTCACCAGAATTTATTGCTGTAAGTGTGTGTGAGAAACATGCCCTTGGTCATTCTTGAAGTACATATATTTTAAAAAATCCTTGAAAACACGTCTTGAAATATTTTTCCATTACTGCCAGTGCTTGACATTTAGTAATAACTTAGAACTTTACCATATTTTCTTGCAGTGTCCTAACTGAAGAGCTGAAGATCTCCATGCTCTAAACACTTTTAGTTGAAAGTGACTCTAAAGAATTTGAAAATATATGTTAATAGAAAAGTTTATGCTTTTAATATTGCTGAGTAATGCTTGGATAACTGATGGAATATAAGAAAATACTTTAGTAGTTGAGGAAGGCTGCTCAGGAATCATATGAGACATACACATAAAAACTGTGTATGTTTGGTGGAGTTTGTGTTATCTGTGTATTTTCATCAATGACCAATATAATCACTCATTTCCTGAAATGCTTTACGAGACTGATTCCTTCTAAGAAAAAAAAAAAAAAAAACCAAACAGGAATGACTTAAACAATTTTAAATAAATTCCTGTAGCTACTGGGGGAAAATTCTCACCAGAATCAGTATCACTTATAAGCACTAGAAAAAAAAAAAAAAAAAAAAAAAAGAATGGATTTTATCACAGCTGATGGATTGTGAGTGAAAACTGCATAAAATTATGTGTCAGACTGCACTCTCAAGTTCTTTGCTATTACCGGTATTCTGATGAGAAGTTGGGGTAGGGCAATTGCTCATGTGCTTGTACTTAAGTGAACAACTTTGTTTCGGTGCAAGGAGCACCCTCAATGATGTGTGGTTGTAGGTATAGCCTGAACTTTGTCTTCTCTTTGCAGGCAGAGCTGGTTGATGTGCAGTATGGCACCATGGAAGACCTGCTCCGGATTCAAGCCATTACAAACGTGACCAAAAAAATTGCACTTTTGAAGCTAGGAAAATCACCTTTGCTTTATAAGGTTAGTCAGAACCTAGTTACACATTAGCTGAATTATTCACTTGTTTGGGTTTTTGTTGGTTTGTTTTTTTTTTCAGTTCCAAAATATCGTAACAAAGACTTTCCCATTCTGTCCCAGTAAGTCAGGACTTACTGGCATTCACATTCTTCCTTAATACTCACCACTTCGCTCTGCAGTGCCTTTTATGTGTTACAGTTATTTATTTTGCTGCATATCTTGCAGTACCCAGTACTCTGTCATATTTTTACTGGATGTACTGTGAGCCTTTTGGCAAACAAAGAAATCCCTGAAAGAAATAATAAAGCATGAGGGAACAAAAAAAAGGCAACTGATATCAGAAATAGTTGGATCTGTGTCTCCTAAAAATGTACATAGAACAGCGCACTGAAATCTTTTGTTTCTGCATAATTGCACATAGTACTTGGTTTGATGACTGTAGTTGTGTGTAGTTTGGCTCAGCATATTGTGAGAGGAGACAGAGCACGGTCTATGCTCACCTGACCTCAGGCTTCTGTGGGTCTTTCCAGCCCTTCTGGGCTGTGTCCAACATCCAGCACTTGGATGTGCTGCTGCCAGCACTCGGATTGCAAGGTAATCACCAGTAGCATACACTATGGGAGGACTGTGTTTATGGATTTAAGAAATGACATTGTAAGTTGGTTTCATCATGGCATTTTGCAGCCTTGCTGTGTGCAGAATTTGCCTTTGCCACCGTGTTCTTCTTCCACTCCCTCCTTTCTCGTCTTTGGTTGAGATTATGTGTGGGGAGGGCTGCACGTGGGTACATGTCTGTCCACCTTCTCCTCCAACTCAAGTGCTGGCAGAAAGCACAGAGCAGGAACTCACTGATCCATTTGCACATTAAATGTAATAGAGTCAACATATAAACCACATTTAAACTCTAAATGCCCAGTAACTGCCTTCTGTTGCAAATAATTTATAGGCAAAAATGCTGGTTTGACGTTCAGAAAATACACTGAACCAATAAATACTTAAACAATTAATTCCCAAATTAACAAATGCAATTATAAAAGAGCAGTGACTCCAGATCTTGCCATTAAAAGGATCAGGATCTGCTCTGTTGGCCATAAAAAGTACAGTCAGGACTACAACACGGGTTCAGAAAACAACCACTTACTATTTTTTCTATAAGAATAAGATTTGTCTCAATAAAAATGCCATTTTCAACTGAGTAGCTTTAGCTGTTTATTTAAATTATTTAGATGCAATTTAATTACGCCCATGAAAGGTCAGTTGTCATTGCTGGAACTTGGCTGTTGCACATCGTTTCCACCAACAGATCTGATGCTGCATTTCACCACTGACAAAAACAATGAAATAGCAATCAGGGCTCATAAAGTAGGGATTTGATAAAGATGTAAAGTTTGCTGTAACAGCACTGTCTCTGAGATGGGTTTTTTAACCCGTTTGTGTTCCTGTGAGGATGCACTATGTCTGAATTAGGAAAATGTACAGCCTGAAGGAGGAGGGGGAAAGCAAGTGGTGCTGAGAACAAGGCACATCTCAGGAGCTCTTTGTGTGGGTTGGCTGTAGCCTGGTCCCAAATATGTGCTGTTTGGTGGCTGAGGTGCATTAGCTACATTTCTGATACTCAGCTGCTGCTCCAGAAGAATCCATTTTGCACATCCAGGGTCTGTTATACAGTATGAACCAAATTGTGGTGTGATCAGGAGGCTGACTTCAAATGCACACTCAGGATCTGAGCTAAAAATACACTCCCCAAGCCTTCTTTCTGTGTTCCCCTCATGTAGGTAGGGAGTTTGCCCTTTTTTTTGAGGCTGTAAACTATCCTTCTTTAGAATATAAATTGTCTCTGTTTGGCAGTGAAATAATGTGAGCTTTACTTTTCTCATAGGAGAAGATGTAGAAAGATTATCAGAAATAGGTTCTCCTTTTAAAAGGAATATTTGAAGTGAAAGATTGCCTTAAACAGCAAGTCCTGCTGGTTTAAACAGGCCCAATATCTCACCACTAAATCCACTTTTTGTATCTTTTTTCCACCCTAATGTTTATGTTTCTGCACTTATTGAGTCTCACATTTCTGTTTCAGCAGATACTTTCCTCTCCCTATATTTTCCTTATCTCTGTCTTCCATGTGCTTGGTTTTACATCACATTAAAACAGAACACTAGTTCATAAGAGAGCTGTAGCTATATATACATATATATTTGCTGCTTTTCTTTCACATTTCTGTATTTAACTTGTATTTTTCATGTTTTAATGTTCTTTAATTTCTCATTATTATTACTTTATAATATACAAATATCTCACTCTGGATTTAAGTTTTATTTTTATAGACCAAGGTTTAATCTTCATAACAGAGTTTCTAATTATGTCTCTATTTTTCAGCTTGCATTTTCCCTTTTGTGGGTATACTTTTTCTCTCTTTCTCTCTCTCTCTTTTTACTGCCATCAACAACTGCTGTCCTTCATGTGTTTTTTCTATTTCCCCCTTTTATGTATTTAATTTGCCTTTTTTTTTTTTTTAATCTTGACTACTGTTTGTTCTCTCCGTACTGAGTCCATTGAAAAAGGCCTGAAAGAAATAATGAACTGCTGCTGGCAGAAAAATCACCATGAAAACTGAACATTTCTTTAGTCTTTATATCACATTAACAGAAAGGATGTGCTGGTAGAAAAGAGCTTCATGTGCAAGGGGATAATTTATAGACATAAGCCCAAGTGATGGAAATTTGAATATTTGGAAAAATAATGGTATTAATGACAATGTTTTTGCATTAGAGGTTTAGTATGTGGAGGTTGGATAGGGTACAAAATTTGGGGAAGGATCAAGATTGAAGATAAGTTGGAGCTTCTACTTTGTCTTTCAGACTGGGCCCATCTCTCATATCTTCAAACACTTTGAAAACAACAGACAGAGTTCAGAGCTTGGAGTAATTTGAAATTGGAATATGCAGGGAATTTGGAGTATGCAGAAAAGCCTAAATTTAATGTGCTGTTAGAATATGCAGTTTAGTCTTTAACATGAGTAATTCTGGTTAAATTTTGTAAGGTTCATAAATTTAAGCTGCTCTGTGATAACAAGATTTTCAGGAATCTGACCTGGGGTAATTTTTGTAATTGGATATGATTTTCGGATTTCGTTGGGAGTGTTGTATTTCTGTTCCACTGAAACAGAACTTAGTGTCTGTTCAGGGCAAGAGGGGCAGGAATGACAGCCATGGGCACATGTCCAGAGGATTGGCAGAGCCTATCTCAGTCCCTTGGCAGACAGATCTCAATCCCTTAAACCAGATCTTTGCAAACAAACAATATGTTACTACAACCACATCATAAATTACAGCTATAAAGAGAAATAACATGGATCCTGCCTTGATAGCAGGGTATCGACAAGAGCATTGACTCTAGGGTGGGAAAAAGAACCCACAAAAAATCAAAACAACAACCAAATAGTTTACATTGCTGTGATAAAATGAATAGATAAAAAAGGGATGTGTATTTATATATATAAATCAGACTGGAGGTTTGGGAAAGGGGTTTTACCATTGTTAGGGCACCACTAAGATCAGTTAGGGAGCAAGACTCTTTTATAAAATTAATATAAAAGTGAAGAAAATAATGGTAGAAATACTTCAAGGGCTGGAGCATTTTTAGTATGGCAAAGGCAGAATCATTTTCAAATGCAACCAAAATGTTTAGGAATTTGCTGCTCCCAGCACTTGGAGTGACAGCTTCCTATTGCAACATGAATCGAGCCAGCAGACTGAGCAGGGAAGCACAGAGGGAGTCCTCAAGTGACACATTAACTTGGCATAGCCATGGTCTAGTCATTTTGGACTCATTAGCCCAAATAATTCACAGTGCTGAAAAACTGAGAGAAGGAAAAAATGTAAACTGCTGTTACAACTCCCAAAGGGATCTTGTGGCTTAGTCTGAGACGACGCATAAGAGCTGGATTGTTTCTGAATTAAGAGGGAGCTGCATTAAGGAAGAGGAAAAACTTCCTTAAGGAGGGAGCTGAAATGAGACAAATGGAGAACAGAAGCGAAGCACAACTTCTGAAGTGAACTGCCATAGAAAGAAGTAGAATCCTTGCTTTCTCACACCTTGAGATTGAAAGTGACCTGTTCCTGGTGTTCTGGGTAGAAGGAAAATTCTTGTGTCAGTGGAACTCAGGTTGCTGGGATCACTGGTGAGGTTGAGTGCACAGTCACAGGAGGTCAGGGCAGACCACTGATGTCCTTGAACCAGAAGGATCTATAAACGTGGGGAAAGATGATGAAGTTTGTTACTAGTGATTAAGCAAATCACTCATGTGATGTAGAACACCTTGAGAAAGAGCACCTTGAATTGCCCACTGTATTTGTAGAGAACATATTCTAATAGTATAGAAAATGTGTGGTGACAGAAAGATTGACAAAACCACCTCACTAGCACCCAGCTCCTCTGCTCTAAAGCTGCTCTGTCTCAACACTGTGAGCACATAGGAGAAACCAGAGAAGGCTTTTTAAGAGAGAACTGCACAGTGGTTTCAATATCCAGCCTCTGGAAATACCATTAACATATTTATTTTTTGAAAAATGTTGTGAATCTTGATCATGATTTAATCTTTAGGGGTTGCAATTCATGAAAAAGCCATAATTTTTGTCCTAAATTAACTTTTAATAGAGTAACAAAAGCCCTGAAGGCCAAACCACTTCATCTTTAATATGTTCACATATTAACATTTTTTCCACATCCATTAAATGAAGATGTTGTTCTACCATGTAAATATCTATATTTATTTTAATAATTTACTGCCTGTATAAATATTCATAAAATTGCTTTTTAACTGTCATACAGTTTAGGAACGTGGATGCTTGGATGTTTATGCAGAGGTTATTGGCAGGCTCTTGCGGATAAGGATTTGCTAAATGGAAAATATTAAAGATTCCCAGAATAAAGGCAATTTGCAAAAAGGCTTCAATTTAATAACTGTGTTAGTTTTAAATAAGTTTACTTTAGAAAAAGTAATTTCA